TCAAAACAAAGTCAATGAGAGGAAAAAGTCTATTGTATCTGAGAGATACTATTGATATGGTATTTTCAGTCAATCAGAGCATACCACGTTATCAAAAACTCTCCATTTAAGTAGCCATGCCAACTCATTTAATAGTTAAAATGATGTGGCATGTTATGATTGATCAGAGATACTACTTCAGTGGTATCCACAAAATACAGTAGAATTTTTTCAATGAGATTATGAGAGGTACACAAGTGATAGATAAGCATCTCTTTGGCACAAACTTAAACACTCACGTGATCTTAATTTTCCTCTAAATTTAAATTACTAGGAGTATCAAGATTTTTTTCGATCACGTGATGGTGACTCGGATTCTGATATTCCTCCAATTTGAAGGGAGGTTCATAAAGAGCTGCAATATCTTGGCGTATCTTGAGAAGCTTATTGTCTATTTTCTTTTCCACCCATTTTGGCAATTCCTGCCTCGCCTTACGGCGGCACCGCCTCATTGCGCACTGGTACGCCACCATCAAGGCTTCCTTTACGTCCATCAGCACTTTCTCTACTACATCCGCATTTTCTGGGTGGCGTGCTTCCTTTAGTCTTTTGATATTATTCCGAATGTCTTCTACCTGCAAATAGTTTGAGTACATGTCACAATATTAGAAGTGCAACAACCTACTCTTACATTATATATTCTAATCATTTAGACGATGGTTATATAATATAAAAAGAAAAAATGTATATTAGTAGTAGTTATGAAATCTTATGTAAAAATATATTTTAAAATTATGTTATTTTAATAAATATTTATTAAGAAAGATTTAAATATTTTAATTTTAAACATAAATAAAATTAATAAAATTTTTTAATAAAATTTTATTAAAATAATGTAATTTTAAATATTTTTTACATAAAATTTTTTATAAGTTTATCTGATAAAGGAGGATGGCTGCAGCATGTTTAGACGGTAGGGCCTTTTAGGCCTGTACCCTGTTTCTTGCGATAGTTATTTCGCATTTGAACAATTTACATTTTACTTCAAATTAACCAAATTAAGATAAATTAAAAGAGGAAAAAACTTATATTAAACTAATACAATTTCTTATCAGATTCTCTTATTAACTCTAACTTATTTATTAAGAAAGCTTGTTCCTTTGGTAGGAAGAGGATTAAATATTAATCCCATATAAAAATAATATAATATATGTATTGTAAATTTA